TGTTGTTGAAAATATTAAAAAATTTAATTATGGTACAGAACCGAACGGAACCGAACCGACCCGAACCGAACCGAACGGAACCGAACCCGAACGGTTCCATAATTATATTTGGACCCGACGGATCCATTTATTAAATACCCGAAAGTTTTGGGTCGGTTCAGGTCTCTTCAAAACCGAACCGACCCACGGACAGCCTTAGTTGCGGGAATTCGATGGGGAAAGCACCGAATGCAGCAACAAACTTTGGTAATTGTTGGGATGTGGAGTGTTCTAGAACTTGTGAAAACTATGGATGTCGAGTGTTCCAAACTACAGTAAACATGGAGAGTTTCATAAGAAATTTGTGTGGAGGTGAAGCAAAGTAGGTTGAACCGATCACCTAACATTTGGGCATCAAACGAAGGTAAAGTCAGGGAAATTGTGAGAATTCTTTGACGTGTGTTGGAAAATACAGAGGCATTTTGTGGGTCTCGATGAGGACGTCGAGTTCTATCGGTGGAGAATGTTTGTGAGGACCCCTACCGAGAAAATGGCAATGGCACGGGTAATGTCTTAGCTGATGCCTTGTCATGACCAAAGGTATGTGAAATATCCGGGCAATCGCAGATTCAGGAAGGAATGAAGCAAGACATCGGGTTGGAAATGTGATGCAAGGGGTAATGGAGGCATGACGATGTCGAATTTACTTGATGGCCGCATCGCATGACGGGTATTTGAGGACTCATGCCAAATTTGGAAATAATCGATTGGTCGATGCAAGCAAGTATTCGACATTATTGAGACCTTGCCGTTCGGGGACTTCAATCCACGAATTCAGCAATCAAAACAGGCATGAGGCTGGCATGTGATGACGGTTACAAGTAGTTATGCCTTGTGTTTGAAATTGGGATAGTTATCAGCCAAGTGGGTTTGAAAATCTCTGAATATACCCAAGCAGTTTGGGGTGGAAACTACAATCCTGGATTGGTTGTTTCCTTGTAAATTCTACGTGTGGTGTTCTTAATTTCGTAGAGAGGCACATAGTGAGACAAGTATTGTGTTGTCCTTTTCATGTGATATAATTAATTACTATACTTAATGTGCGTGACAAATAATCAAATTAACTATAAATATTTAATGCATATTTTCAATAATCTCAGTCAAAATATTTGATTTGGTCTACCAAGACTATGAACATCAACGTATGTTAAGGGTCTAGACAATGCCAAAGTCAACTTGAAGTCATGAGATTAAATTAAATCTAGTAATTAATATTGTTTTGATTTAGTATACTATGAGTGTTAGTAACGCGGAACTAGGTTGAAAATTCTTCGGTCTTTGCACCATAATATAATCAATTCTGTACATCACACGATTTAATTCTTCAAATATAATTTTTATACATGTGTTAAAACAAGGACAAATTATAATTTATTTTGTTAGATTTTTTATCGTCACTTTTATTTATTTATTATTATACGTAATTAAACATTCAAAACAATAGAAACATGCTATGCAATTCCAAACGAACGATGACGTTAATTGACTCACTATGCTTACGTGCCTCAGGTATGGCATTAATTGTCCACCTCAATGGCATTTTTATGAAAAAAATTGTTTTGACGAACAAATATTTATGTCTTGTTGTTGTGTCGTACTCTGGTTGAAACGTATTTAAATGAGTCATATATTATTATTATTATTATTATTATTATTATTATTATTAAATATATTAACGTTTATGAACCATTTATAACCATCCTTTATTATTTTCTGAATGTTGGGCCACTAGCATCCATTTTAGGGCAAATACTATGATGTCGGAATACCGTTAGAAAAGTATCCCCTTTTCATTATTTTCATTTTTTCAGGGTGGGTTGGGGATTGTTGAACAAGTCAAGATATTGACTTGCTTCCTTCATTAAAATTACTATGACCAAAGACCTGTCGTGCATAAAGAATAAAGAGAAAATCTTTTGAATTTTCTCAGTCAAACTTCTGACCTCGGCTCTTTCCCTCGATTTTCACCATTCAAACGAAGACTTCCTAGTATATAACCAAACTACCTTAACAAGAACATAACAATGTAAACACAATTAATTAAGCATGTAGTCCCATTTCTACTCGATCAAAACATAGTTCCAGACTTCCAGTTATATATTTCCTTTTTGTGGTTTATGAAATGGAGAATATCGACATGAAAAGTCTGCTGAATGAGCTAACAGAAGGGAGGGAGTTGGCAAAACAGCTGCAAATTCATCTTAACGTCTCGTCTTCTTCCCATAAAACTCGTGATGTTTTAATCGACAAGATTCTTAATTCCTATGATCAAGCGTTGTCTATGCTGAAATATGGTGGCATGTCTGGGGAGACGCAACAGGGAGGGTTAAGGATTGGAACCTTGGACTCTCCGAGGTCCCTCAGTGGCAGTCCTCGTAGCGATGGTTCTGATCACGAGTTTAAGGATCACGACAACAAAGAGGGTTCTAAGAAAAGGTTAGTTCAACATTATTAAGTACGACTTATCAAAAGAATACCTTTTTAACGTGTATTTTATATGTACGATGATGATCCTATTCAGTTCAATCTATTTTAAAGGTTAATTGATGTTTATGTTGCAACCTTACAGAAAGGCAATGCCTAGGTGGACCCAGAAAGTTCAAGTAGATCCAGGGACCGGAGTAGAAGGACAAGGTGATGGCTACAGTTGGAGGAAGTACGGACAGAAATACATCCTAGGAGCCAATAATCCGAGGTACAAAATTTTCTAGATAATTTGGCCGTGCCTCTACACAATTTATTGATTTTCCAACCACATCATTTTGAAAGTTTAATCTATTAATTACATAAAGAATCCTTTTATTTACTTAGAAGAAGGAATCGGTCTAACCTCAACTAAAGGTGCAAATAATATCAAACTCACTACATTCAGGGTGTAAAATTAATGTACGAATTTAAAAAGTTACACTTAATCACCATGAGCATATTCATTGTCATCATAGTGAAGTTTCTTTTTTGGACGTTCAATTACTATTGGATACTCATACGATATTCATAAATGAATCATGTGGTAATGTCACGGGCCCTGTGATAGGCTAGTGGGAGATCACAGGAGGTCAACTCAAGTGACCCTGTACAAATATCTTTGTACTTCGTAAATTAGAATCAAAATAAGATGTTGGATTCATAGAAAGTTCTGAATTGGAATCAAAATAAGATGTTGGATTCATAGAAAATTCTGAAGGTGCAAGTAGACTAAACTGCAAGAATTGATCAAATAAGTCATCTCCACCTCATTTCTATAAAAATGACCGGTCAACTAGTCAAATTAAGAAGATTTGGACTGACTTTAATTACTTGGAATCTTCCAACTACTATTTTTCTCACTAAATTTACTTCTAGAAAGTCTTCTAAGGAAATTTTACTTCACCTACCCAAATTTTGTCCCCTTGGCTGTCTTTTTTTCCTGTTTATTTTTCATTATATTCAAATTGCTACAGTATTAGTTAATTTGAAAAGTTCATGAATTATCACAACATTGTTTTGCAATCTAGTCATTATCCTACGTGACAAAATTTGCGACTCACTTTTTCTATTATGGACAGAGGCTATTATAGATGCACGCATCGACACTCCCAGGGCTGTTTGGCTACGAAACAAGTTCAAAGATCCGACCAGGACCCAACAATTTTGGAAGTAGCATACAAAGGTATGCACACTTGCAGCCAAGGGGCAAATACAAGTCCAAAAACAGCAATAGATCAAGAACCAAACATGGCAGAAAATCCTCTGCAAAACCAGGCACAACTCTTGGATTTCCAAACTAAAGATTTAGACACTAAACTTGAAACATTTCAGCCACTTAACACCAACCCTTCTCCATCATCATCAAGAATTAATCCTCAAGACGATGTTTTTTCAGCTGCAATGATGGAAACTAACATTTATTCCCCCTCGATTATGTCATCCGAGCCTAGCTATTTCTCGTATTTGCCTTTTCTTATGGAGGGGGATCATGGAAGTAGCTCCAATGTGCAAACCTCAGAATCCAATGCCAAAAATATTGGTATAGACTTCCCATTTGGTCAGCTGGATCTTGACTCAAACTTTCCCTTTGATAATCCTAAATATTTTCCATAATCTTCAGATATTTCTAGAGAGAGAGAGAATAAATGTGAGCTATATCAAGCAATATTCCTCATTAATCCTAGCTTTTAGAAAGTTTTCCTTATTTTAGAGAGCTCAGTGCTTGAGGTATAGTCAAAGGTTCTACACATGCTTACAATGGTAAAATAGTTATTTTGGAACTGTTTCGAGCTAGTGTTTAGGCATTGCAAGGCAGACTACGTGTACAGAAGGAGGGGTCACAGAACCCCTCCAGATAAGACACGAGGGGTGGTTTTTTTTTCCAGTAAGATATTCACATGAGGGTCCCACCCCCATGTGAGATGTGAGATGTCTGTAAGCCTTCTGTGAAGGCTATTCTGTACACAGGAAAAAACCCTTGAAATTAGGCCATTAAAGAGTATTTTGTATTTCCTTGTTCCATCAATCTTACATTGGAAGTTCTCTTATAAGTAATATTTAATAAATTCAATAATTAAAACCATTTTTTAAGAAATTAATAATATAACATGAGTCAGTTTTTTAATCTCGAGCAAGTATTTTAATGAAATTTTCCTTTATAAGATGGGCTAAATTACCTTTTTAATGCAATTTGAATGTTTTGATGGTTCAAATGAAGTGTTTTGTTGGGCGTAAATATTAGTATTGACAAGTATAGCTAGAGCAAACCCCGGCAACTTCCTGGAAGCACAGGGTTGCACCCAATTATTGAATAATTCAGAATTAGACTCGTACTTTCGGACTTGTTCATCGATCGTAACTCGACTTTTGTTAAGTCCAAATTGTTGAACTATCTTCAAGCTTCAAGCATTCTTCTCTCGAAAAATACAAAAGATAGCCAACCAACACAATATAATCCAAGTTTAGAATCAAGAATCCTACACCAAAAAGCATCTGTCTATGTATTTGAAACAATTCAACTAAAAGAAAGAAAACAAAGCTTAGAAAAACATCAATAATTTTACAATGTTAAAGACTGATGATGCTTTTCGTAAAAAACCCATTTCTCTTACACTTAGGGTTAATTTCCGAAATGGTCTTTGAGTTTTTCTTAAAGTTCTCACGAGGTTACTGAACTTAAAAACTGCACCCGTTAGTCATTTAACTTTGAAAATTGGTACCCACCCCCCGTCCATCACATTGTAAACGATGCTTACAAATTGGAAGGATTTGATGACATATTTAACGCTATGACTGTAAATCAGATTTTTACATAAATTATGATATAATTAATTAAAAACTATAATAATTCAGTTCATAAAGTTTGTGAAATTCAAATTCGAAAAGCTCTACATTTGGATAAAACTACACATTCAACGGTCATTAAAAAAAAACACTCAAATATGCATTGGACAATTTGTGAATAAAAAATGGTCACATACATGTTGACCCATGCTCAACGTCATCAAATCCTTCCAATTTTGCAATTATCGTTTAAGCAGTGATGGACAGTGTACCAATTTTCAAAGTTGAGTGACTAATGAAGACCCTTTTTAAGTTCAATGACCATTTAGAAAATTAACCCCTCAAACTAATGTAGGATAAGAATTGCCGGCTTGTAATAGATATATTCGTATTTAAGAGGATTGAAGAACTCTAATTTTTTTCATTCTTGATCATCACCCAAAGATTTAACCTAGGCTACAGACGCACCCTAGACTGTCTTACATGACCCATAAAACATGGTACAACATGCTATAATCATATTATAACTCTTTGGATTCCTCGACCTTTACAGAATCTTTGGAATTAAACATTAGGCTTAAAAATGCATCTTTTGGCCAAACACCACACATTAAGCTTAACGAAGTACCCAAGTTTTATCTTGGAATCGTGTAGCATCGAAAGTACCCACACGAAAGAGAGACAACACGACTTTAGGATAACATCATTGACTTGACTCCCTAAAACTTCCTTTCTAAATTTGTTTTCATGTTTATGTTATATATTTATTGATGAATCATATTATTTATACTTGTTATGTTAATCAATAATTTGTAAGATTTATGCTATAGGTCCAATCAACTTTAGATATAAATACTTTTAATATATAATTGATGTATATTTATGGCAAGATCTATTATTTAATTCAATTAATATTATAATAAATTAAATAATAGAATCTGTAAATTCAAATCTTGGTAATTTGTTAATCACAAGTACTTGTAATTGTGAGATACAAATTACATATGACTGAATCTTAAATTGTGTGTGATCGTATATAATAATGAGATACGGATATCGTTATTACAGATAGATCATCACGTGTGACATTTCTTACTTATGAAGTAAGTAGTTGATCTCACAAGTTAAATTGTGGTAACAATTAAATGAACACGTGGATGTTTTATTATAAAACAAGATATGGGAGACCCGCTGGGGAGATTCCACATGAATAACTATCTGAATATCAGTGATTAATTTCTAACGTTCGATAGTGAAATTGATCATTTGACTTGAGGTAATCAGTGTCTTAGATAAGGACTGTCATAGTTTGGTAATGTTTTATGTGTATTACCACTTCAAGCATAATCTTTAATCAAATAAAATATACCAGAAGCCTCAAAAACGTGAGTAAGGATAGTATTGTGCTAATGGACTATGCTAGGCATACATAACGAATGCCATAATTGACATATGACGGTCCTCGGATACTTAATGGGTGCCATAATTGACAAATAGGGGGCCGCCATTTGTCAATTATGGCACCCGTAATAGGGGGCCATCATTTGTCAATTATGGCACCCGTTATGTAAAATGCTATGTACAAAGAGCATTTTCCATGTGCTAATAAGCCCGCCAATTTTTCTAGTGCAATTTTGTGCATTGTGATAACAAATATCCATTATCAGGCCAACTCATTGGAAAACCAACATGTTGCGGAAGCTTCAAGAAATCTAGATCTGGGCTCAAGAAAATCACTAAACGACGAACACCAAAACCGCCAAGGGTCGACCCAAAACTTCCCCTTTATTTCGGTTGCACGAGTCTTTCAACCCTACAAAGGAGAAGAGTGGTGGGGGTAGTATTAGCATGAAGAAGAGAACAATTGTTGAAACTCACTCATCCAACTCCAAGAGTTAGCCGCCTCTCCTCACCCTCTCTATTGCCTCATGCCTCCCACACATTCAAGAAAACGGCTGGAAAGGATACATATATTAGATTGGTTTATGTCACCAACTTGGGCCAAATCTCATTAAATGGGCTGCTATTTACATACCAATAAAAGGGCCATCATATCACCATCCAACTAAGCCAACAACCAAATGGACTACCATACCATCCAACTCAACAAATACAACTACAACTTGGGTCATCCGATAGTGTAAGTCGTTTCCAAGCTTATCCAAATTTATGGTGTAGATAAATTATACGACGTCTATTTTAAATTATCCTCCGAAATTATTGGGTATTAAAAAATCCAACACAACCAAAACTGGGTGAAGGCACGTCGAAACGAGAAACTCGGTGTTGCAAAATTGAACATGTCCAGACTATACTCATGATGCGAAAAATAGTAATACAATTGCATCGACAGTTAACCAAAACTCCGCTTTTAGATTTTGGTTTATGGAGAATAGCAGGTTTGCCGACCCTACTCTATCGGAGCAAGACAGTAGACAAAGCCCCTGGGGAACTTGGTGAATTAAAAAGCAAGATGACCAAAAAAATAAAAAATATACTACAATGTTTAGTACATTAAGTTCAAGATATTGAACTAACCTTTATAATATGCAGCAATAAGAATCTATAAAAATTACACTCACTACACCAAAAAACACATTTTGCAGCGGCCAAAAAACGCTGCAAAATTGCAGCGGCCAAAAAACGCTGCAAAAAGTCTTTTGCAGCATTTTAGCGTGTGTTGCGGGGGTCAGTGTTGCTCCTTTTGCAACGTTTTTGCATGTGTTGCATAGGTCGATTTTTCCGTTGAGGGAAGAGATACGGCAATGTTTAAAAACGTTGCGAAACTCTACGGCAACGTTTAAAAAAACGTTGCCGTGTCTCTTCCTTTGGTTTTGGCAACATTTTACAAACGTTGTCGTTGGTCTTTTTAATATTTTTTAAAATTAATTCGCCTTTTTATATATTCCTGCCTTCCTATAATACCAGAATAAATATCCAATATAATGAGAAGTGACAGGCATCAAAAATAAATATAAGAAATCAGGATTAAAATGGGAAAACAAATTGCATTGAAATTAAACCATGCTAGCGTATACATTGTGCAATATTCACTCAATTATACATGTAAAATATCAACCTAGCATCAATAACATCTTTTCTATCATTCATCAGACCACTTACAAAATGTACAATAATTCATAACATATTTTTTGGTACATTGCTCTTAAAAAATCCATAATGAAATACACAGATAAACAAACCTTAATTCTGCTACAGATCGGAGTTTTAGTCGGAGTCAGAGTCACGCGCTTTAGCTTCTAATTGTAAATGACAAATTGGGAAAAGTGTTCACTTTGACGGAGTAGGAGTAGGAGTCGGAGTCACGTGCTTCAGCTTCTAATTGGGATTGACGAATAGGGAAAATGCTCCACTTCGTCGGAGTAGGAGTCGAAGTCAGAGAAGGAGACGAAGTCGTGTGTATTGGCGCCGAAATTGGAAATGAAGAAATTGGGAAAAGGGTTCCTGCTTGCCGATTTATGCTATTGGGTAAGTGAATTAGACCTTTCGTTATTGGGCCTAATTTTTTTAGGCAATAATCAGCCCAACCCAGCTCGCATAATCCTCCTTACTTTTTGCAACGTTTAATAAACATTGCTAATGTTACCTTTCGCAACATTTAATAAACGTTGCAAAAAGTTGATCTTTCGTAACGTTTATTAAACATTGCGAAAGATAGACCCTTTTTCCAACTTTTATAAACGTTGCAAAAAGTTTATCGCGAAAGGATAAACTTTTCGCAACATACATTAAATGTTGTGAAATGTGACATTAGCAACATTCCCTTATCAAATGTTGCAAAAAGTCAATTATATTAATCCAATAGCAAC